CATGTTTGTTAGTGAACCCCGCGCCGGCTCAACTGATCGGATATCATGGCCAAACCCAACCCCAAACCCAACCCCAAACCCAAACCCAACCCCAACCCCAAACCCAAACCCAAACCCCAAACCCAAACCCCAACCCCAAACCCAAAGAAGCCTTTATGTAGGGATCATAGTAATGTTATTCTGGCTCCCTTCTCCATATCCCTCCCAACTTTTCTTAAGGTCTATAGGTTTTATAAATCAATTAAATTATGGAAAAATTAATACTTCATTTCATTCAAGACAGAGGAGGAACAATTTAAAATAAAAATAGATTTTTTTTTTCATTGAACACTAAGAATAGATTTTGATGATACATGTTTAGTTGTGTTTTATTACGAATATATAGCTAGAGCCTCTCTAATTCTAAATTTTTTTCTAAATTGTCTTGCCTATATTACGAAAAGAACAATCTTTATGTCTATTCCCAAACCACTTAATAATAGCAAATTAGTCATGAATAAAAGCACAATTAGCCTGCGATTTCCTTTTGATAATAGATGACCGGGTTAATTGACAGTAAGAGCATGGCCGTTGTAATTCAATATTCTGCCCTAATTTAACAGTATTCTATTTTCAAATTGACAGACGCACCAAAATTAGTTGAGGTTTAGGAATTGATGAATAGTCTCTTAGAAGAATTTATACTTTGGGTGATAAATAGTATGAATTCCTTATGCATCAGTCGAAATTGCTATTTGTGATTGGATCTTAAGGCACCCAAGAAGTTCTCAAAGTTTATAGATTCAATAAATAATGAACAGCCAAGATTAATAATGAGTATTTGTTTTGAATTAGATTGGAAAATTAATATTAAATGATATATAGACAATAAGATACTGTGTTGTATTTAGCAATCTTTCAACTCTTGTTGAGAGGGTAATTATCAAAAATAGAATTCAGTTTTGACTTAATTATTAAGAAACAATTTTTAATATCTTTATAACGGTTGTGGAGTAAATTTATTATTATTTAAGAAAATAATTCACATTTAAAAACTTATGATTAAAAAGATTAAGATTATTTTATCCTTCAAAAAAAATTATGAGTTTTAAAAAACTAACTGCTAATAAACTTATTATTTAACTTAGAAAATTCTTCAAAACGTCACATAAATATTATTGAATCCGAAATGAAGTAGTGATGGATTTTTCCTATTTTTAATTTCATCCTTTTAAACTTCATTTTTTCCTTATCTAACTCCCAATATATTTCTCCCCTCCCTAGAGAACTAGCCTGGTGAAAACATAGA